TTCACAGTCAGCCCTGATTATTACCTCAGGTCCATCCAGGTTCCTCCATGTCATTTATATTTGGATCCTTAGCCTCCAAAGGACTAACAGGCTGGCACTGAGCATTACACTCAAAAATGTCTCTTCAGAAACTTATAGATGATGCCATACAAATATCCATGTTTTTCATACGGTCTACGGTCAAATTTTGACATGATACAGTGAAAAGACAAGTGTAACTGAGAGGACAACTGTAACTGGGACTATATGTTGAACGCTGAAGATTTTTAAAAGTGTCAAGCCCCCCAACTTGGATCCCGTTAAATTCTCATCCTGTATTGACACTAGTGTCATAACCTGCATTCGCAGGCTTCTTTTTAGACAAGGTTGTCATGTTATCGTGGTTACTGACAAAAGATAGAGATTGTATGTCATGGAATTTGCTGCTTGAATGCCCTAAAGCCTTATATATAGTAAAAAAAAAAGAAGTGAACAGCAATTAAGTAAAAATCTATGTCCAATTCCAGTAAGACCAATCAGTAATGTTAAACAATTTCAAATGAAATGGCCGATAACTATAATATATTGTAGAGAACACAGAATATGTCATTGTATCCTTGGTACCAAGATATTTACCAAGCCTGCTGTGTTTGCTGTTTAGATTGTCTTTCCTGAGCATTGAACCATTGATGGAAAAGGGTTTAGGCCATAGATTTCTGAGGGTGGAACCCAGGTAAATTACATTTGCAGCCATGTATAGAAAACAAACTACTCGTTAAGTGTTTGAACTGTGGTGTTTCAGAAAGGATACTTTACCTTTTTCCTTTAGGTGTTCTTATTTTTTAGAAAAAAGAAATCTAAAGAGGATAGATAAGGGGGCTTTTTAAGTCCCTGATCCAACATTATTACACTGTTGTACAATGTCTGGTTAAAATGAAATATCTCCTTTTTTGTACTGTAATGGGAATGAGCAGGTAGGAAGTACAGTGTGATTGTACATTGTTTAAACACATGGAGGAAAGTGATGCAGTTGTCTAATGACCAAGGCTTTTATTATGAAGAAGAAAAATATGACAAAGTAAGAGATGAGAAAAAAAAAGTGTTCCTCTGGGAATATTTACTACTTGGTCCTTTTCTGAGCTTGTTCGCTATCTGGGTTCCCGGTCAACCTGTAAATCCATCTGAGATCTAGCTCACTAATGTATAATCCAGAATCTGACTCTCTAACATCTTCTGTCCATGACCAGCTCACTTGCTCCGAGTAGTCTTGCCCAAACAGTACTGTAGTCTACCCAGTCAACAATAGGTGGGAATGTAGCAGCCCCACTCTCCTCCTCAGTCCTCGTAATACCTTAAAGCCCGGTTGAGTTTGTGCTGAAAGCTCTTTTTGAAGACCAGCTTGTAGCTTTTTGAAAGTAAAACTATTTGAAAACTATTGTTGTAGTAACAGGGATTGTGAGGCAGCTTGTTGCCCAGCTTGAAAGCTCAGTGTAAACCAAATGATAAACTGGGACAATCTGGGTAATGAACCTGTCAACCCCAAATTGTTAGTTGTTCTGTGATCATTTTAATAGAAACTGGCCATGAATCCCTCACTGTGTGCAGCCTCTAGACTGCAATATCCCTATTTTATCCAAAGTTAAACCCCTGCTGACAACACACTGGGTACTTGTATATATGTTTAGTTTGTTGCTGATGCATTTCTCTTTTCAAACTGTTGTCTCCATAGTTTGACATTAGAATCTCTCCTTCTTGCCTTTCTTCCCATATAAATCTGATTACCTGATGATGGGTTGTGATGTTGCCTAGGATGATTGTTTACAATTTTATTCCATTTATCTCTGGATATTCTGTAAATATTGTAATTCATTGTCTTTTTTAAACTTGATAATAAAGTTATCAGATAACAGTTGATTATGTATCTCTCTGCTTTGCACAGACACACATAATATTTTAATTAGGCCTCTAAAATGTGACTTTTCCTTGCTTAAACACTAAGATGTTAAGGGATAAGACTGAGCTTCAGTATGTGATTGTTTAAATATAGTGTGAGGACATGGTTCATTTCTTTCTTACATGTTCTGCAGGCTTGATACTCTTGCTATCATGCATAATATCACCTTCTTTTGTGTGATATATAAATTCTGCTGCCCCCAAGATCTGGAAATTATGCATATCAGCACAGATGTGAAAGTATTAAAATTCCCTGATAAGCAAGCTTCCTGAACAGCAAATTGAGAATAAGGTGTAAATGAAGTGCTTCACATTTCAGGAGAAAAGTAATTCCAAAGGAAAATGGAAGTACTCCCATTGGTCAAGTGTAATTTTTCTAATCCAGTCACCTTTAATACCTTCTTTAGAGACAGTTATGATCAAGTTGATGCAGTGGTAGTCTGTTCAATTTATGTTGGATATAATTCTTATAGGTAGAGGTTATGTTGGTGTGCTCAAATTTACATGAGAATAGATCTTAGTCATTTCTTACTTTCAGTAACAAAGTATCAGCTGTAATCACTGTTTAGCAAGGAGAAAACTGCATTTTACTGGTTGTACTGACACTTTAGAGGTACTTAAACTGGTACAAAGGTACTGGATTAACTAATTTAAAATATAACCCACAAAAGTGACTAAAGGTTATGTGAGGCAGAACACCCCACTCAGTTACAAGGCATAAGTTAGAATCACTTTCTGTCAAGGCAAATACTGCATTCTACTGGTCATGCTAGAAAGGTAGAGGCGCTTTAACACATACAGAGATACAGGATTATAGATACAGTAGATAGATGATACTATATAGTCTATAGATAATGTTTTTGTGACTAAATGTGTTAAATAGTTGCTTTTTAGTGATACAATATGATGAAGGTAAAATCAAGGACCCTACTGAAGCATAGAGAAGTGAAGCTGTTGATATAATGGACTTGTGGTATTTAGAAGAATGAATGATGACAGATTCCACTCTAATATTCTACAGTTGATTTGACTATAACTACAATTATTCCCTTACAGCATCCTCAAAGGTTCAAGTTTTACAAAGACATACCTCTATATACCACATATTGTGTCTATTTTTGTATTTTATCATGGTTTGAGTGTGACAAAAGCAGCTGTATTTGTAGATAAACTGGCTGATGCATGTTTGCTGGTTGCGCGAGCACCCGTGGACTGTGATCAGTTTCTGGCAGACAGTCACTTTTTGGGACAACACCAGCAGCTCGTTCACAGGAAATAGTTCTGGGTGGAGAAGGCATCTCACTGGGCTCCAGTCTGTGTGTTCCACCCTTCTGCTTTCCTCTCTCTACTCTACTCCACTCCACACCTTGCAAGACCTTTGCTGACCAAAACCACAGACCATGCATGCCATGAGTGTGTGCTTGTGTACATCTTTGTGTGTCTATGTAATGTACATGCATGAAATGCTGCGGCTCTGACACTCTAAATACCACAAGTCCATTATATCAACAGCTTCACTTCTCTATGCTTCAGTAGGGTCCTTGATTTTACCTTCATCATATTGTATCACTAAAAAGCAACACTTGGAGTAGCCTAGCTTTGAAAGTCTTGATTTCAAAAATGTCACTTTCATTTCCTTTCCTGCCTGGTTTATAAGGGGCTAGTTTACATGTATAGCATAATCTCTTAAAAATATCTCTAAATTCCCAGAAATCAGACTGTAATCTCTGTGTCTTATCATTTCAGAGAGGGCAGATGGTAGACTGACGACCCCTGGAGATAGGAGCAAGAGGCACAGTCACAGTGGGGGAGGGTGAAGGAGGACATTGCTGCTGCTGCTACTACTGCTGAGTGGAGCAACATAAGGAATGCCTGATGAGTATGTGCTCAAGCCAAGGCAGTCGAGGGCACTACTCCTGTAATAACTGGATGACAGAAAGAGGCGGGGAGGGAGAGGAGGAGAAGACAACTTAGGAGAGAGACAGAAGGTAAAGTCAGGACAGAAGAAGAGTGAGGGGGTGAAGAGTGGCAGAAGGAAAGGAAGAGACACTTGAGAGGAGTGGGAGTTAAAGATAGACAGACTCATGCATACAGTCATAGAAAGTAAGGGAGTGATATGAGAGAAGTGGCCTGGGGAAGAGACCCCTCTGAGCTCCAGTATATTATATCCGGCACTTAACAGTCCTCTGAAAGTCAGAGCTGGGCAGCATAGTAGTATACAACTCAGAACTCAATAAAGCTTCTGAATTCTTTGTGCTGAATGGGCCATATTGAAATTCCTGCATTCTTGAAGGTCCTGGGATTGTTGAAACTTGTGATAACAGTACAAAATGTTATCTTGAGTTCAATAAGGGCAGTGTATTTATTCAACCAATGACGGTTTTGAGTGGTAGAAACGCACCATAAACCCTTAACTTAAGCATCCAAATGTGAAATACAAGTAAAAATAATCAAAAGAAATGCACTGTGGTTGCTTCCATTGAAGAGTTGTTGCTCTGTTTGCTGCTTATATCTTCAAATGAGTTGCGGTCTGCTTGAATGTAGAAAAGTGCATGCTCTGAGAGTAAGAATGTATACAACAGGCTATAGGTTGAGTCATAGCCTATTAGGTTGTACCATTTGGTTTTATCCTAATCGCTTTGACTTAGTTTTCTTATTTTTCTTAGTCTATTTTTACTCTACTTTTATTCTATTTTAGTTTCCGAAACGATATGGCATTCAATACTAGGTGAGATTTTGATTTTCTGTATGTCCTGCACATATAGTGAATTGACAATAAAAATATTTGATCTTGATCTATAGGCTATCTGTGCCTGTATCCCAGTAGAATTAACAAACGTTCTATGTCTAAAGAAAGTTGTGTGTGTGTTATTAGTAGCCTATTTGATGTATTTTTCTTTCTTTCATTTTATTTTTATTTTTTAATTTTCTTTCTTTTCTTTTCTTTTTATTTTTAATAAGTAGAACTGTAGCAGAGAAAACATACTGCAGTATGAACCATTTTTTTCTTTTTATAAAATGTTTGAACAATCATTCTTCAAAGCTGCGATTTATAGCCTGTCCAGTGGGGGCGCTGTAGCCTAACTAACCTAGACCGAAGAAGAGAGGCGGAAAGTGATGGCGGTTGGCGGTTTGTAATGACAAGCGAAAACAGCAAAGATTCTTCCAAGTTTGATTTACAGCGTTTGAACCATAGCCGGGATACATTTTTAAAAACTCTATCGGCAAAATGCAGATAACTTTGAAAACTTTACAGCAGCAGACGTTCAAAATTGACATCGATGAAGAGGAAACGGTAAGAGTTAAAGCCACGCATTTGTCAATTGGTGGTGGAGTGGGAGTTGGTTATGTCCTGGAACCGAGTGCTTCAGTTTTTGACCATTTCAAATGAGACGATTGGTAGTTAGGTATTCGTAAAAACCAAAGATCCAGTATAGGTGGTGTAACTCTTCTTCTTAATGTGAATAATGTCTGACGCCGGCCTTGAGAGAGATTTGCGTTACTTATTAATTACTGTTCATAAAAGTAGTTTGATTTGTCAGCGTTTAGCTGTAGCCCACAAGATAGGCTGAGGTGGGGAGAGATGACAGTTCAGTAACTGTAGCGGGTAATGTTTCTAAACCAGGCAGTAATGGTAAATTATCTCTGTTCATTTTCTGTTAAATGCATCAACATTGGCATGAAATTAGCGTGACAGTAGCATTTAACCCAATAACTATACTGTCTAATTGACGTTAGCAACCTAGTGCCTTTAACGTCAATAGTGTTAGCCTTAGTGTAAATGGTAAGCTAGCAGCTTTGGTGTAAAATGTGCATTTTAATAGAACTTTAGCTACATTTTGGTTATGGAAGACACTTATAATTATAATAGCCAACAGTATCATGTTTAGTCAACTCCAATTTTATGATGGTGCAGTTAACCTAGGACACCCTTTGGACTTTGTTTTAACTCGTACTCACATTGTATATCCTATAGATGGGGATAAAGGGGGGTTCATGTTATAATATTCTGCAAAACAAGTGTTGCTATCAATAAACAAGATTATCCCCCCCACAGGTGAAGACATTAAAAGAGAGAATTGAACAGGAAAAAGGAAAGGAGCTTTTTTCAGTGGCAGGACAAAAGCTGATATATGCTGGTAAGTTACAGGTGTTTGCTTTTTAATTATTGACTGAAACCAACTGTTATTGTCATTATCTATCATTATCTATCTATCATGGCCGGGTTGCAAGGGAGAGCAGACGTGTACTGCTCCTCTTGTCTGTTCTACGATTTTTCGCATCTTCTACATTTTCATACAGTCTAAATTGTTAAAATGTTTTGATTTAGTGGGATATAAGACTGCTGTGTTTATGTATAAAGCCAGGAACAATTTATTACCTGGTGGAATTCAAAAACTATTTAATGAAAGGGAAGGGGGATACAATTTAAGGGGTCAGTTAAATTTAAAAATTCATGCTATACGTACAACCAAAAAAAGATTTTGTATTTCCATAAGTGGGGTAAAACTATGGAATAATTTAAGTGCGGACATAAAAAATAGTAATAGAATTGACGAGTTTAAACATAAATATAAAGTGTTAACATTGTTATATTCTTTTTTTAGTATAATATGTGTGTGTGTGTAGAAGTGAATCATTTATTGCTTGCAAACCAATGATGGTAAGATGATGTCATGGGGTAGGACTGGATAAGTCTGACTTCTTCCTACTCCATTCAAGCATGTACTAGGTATAAGCAAATTGATATTGGATTAGCATTTGTTGGATATGTGTAAAATTATGTGTGTTGACATATCAACTGTCTTTACATGCTTGAAAGAATAAATAAATCAAAAATCAAATCAAATCATTTGACCAGTTTTCTCCATTCATTGATTGTCTGCTCTATGAATGTCAGAAAATAGTCACCAAAAAAAAAGAGAAAATCATAGCTTCCTAAATCCCAACATGACGTTTTCAGGTTGCTTGTTTTGTCTGACCAACTGTCCAAAACCAAAAGATAAGTTTATTGTTACATTGGACAAAAAGCAGCTAATTATAACCAATGAGAAATTGGAACTGGGGAAAGTTTGGAATGCTTGCTTAATAATTGACTTAAGTGCTTAATCTGTTTGTAAAATAGTTTATTTTTCTGTAAGCCAAGTTATCTAGTTTTAGTCCTCCTTAAACCCTCCTGTTTCTAATAATTTCTCTTCTCCTTCCTGTGTAGTCTGTGTACACAGGCTTGATGTTCAGTTATTTACTTTGAAAAGTACATAACACATTTAGAAATTTCTGTTTATTTACTGGGTGTTAATGTGATTGCTGCAGCACTTTACACTGTTCGGTTTGCATCATGCTGCATTTGTGATTCTGATGTTGAGGTCTTCTGGCAGACTGTGCAAAACTCACTCAGACCATCAAGCACATTGTTTATCGTTTATTTCCATGGTTGAAAATGATGTTTACAGTGGTTTTTCCAATGTGTTCTCCTGAATAACCTTACACACCAGCATTCTCCTGATTCATACTGGGGTCCAGGCATATCTTGTCTGCATGTTGTGATCTGTATAGATGCAGAGTCTCTGAGTCTGTTGTAGGAGTTCATATGGTTCTGAGGTATTGGATGTAATGTACAGTGCACATAAAGCATAAAGTGGGCCTACATTAAAGTGATTTAACTACTTCAAATGATTGACAGCTTAATGATGAGAAAATATATTCTTCATCACAGCATTCCCTTAATGGAGAAGGGAGAGTGATTCTTGAAGTTTTCTGGCCAAAAGGTTAGGTAGTGTTTTACAGCTTCTCTTCATAACTCAGTGTTTAAAAAAGTTCTCCACACTGACATATAATTGAAACTGCTGACTACTGTTTATTCCATTGGTGGGTTTCCTGTGGCTCCTTTGCTTGCACTGCTGTGCAGTTCCAGGGTTTTTGTGGAGCACAGTGGTATTTTTGACAGCTGGCTTAATGTGAGTAAACTAACAGATGTTGGAAATGGATTGAGCTCAGTAATTACTCTGTCAATTAAATCCTGTCATGGTCCCCATCCTGTTTGACTCTGGATCATCTCCAGTTTTATTTACCAACAAAACTGATGTAAATTAGCCTTTAACAGCATCAGAAACACAGGAACTGCTCTGGTGCCAACAAGAAGGTGCTGCAGAGAGTGGTGTTGGCTGCCCTGTAGAACATTCGCAGCAGCCTCCCTTCCATTAAGGACATTTACATCAATAGGTGCAGGAGCAGTGTGGTCTGCATTATGGGGGACCCCACCCATTCAGCCCATGAGCTGTTTGATCACTTCCCTTCAGGCAAGAAGCTGCAGAGCATTAAGACCAGAACAACTAGGCTCCAACGCAGCTTCTACCCAGAGGCTGTAAGATTGGAAAACTCTAAGCTTCGCTGATTCACCTTAGACTGTTCTGCCTTGCTGGATATGCTGCTCTGCTCTGTTTCTTAACATGCTGCTTTTGATGTTTAATATGCTGCTCCATTTTTCTTACTCCTGTTACTATTATGGACAATTTATTATATGTTTTAGTAGGGGTATTAAACAGACTTGAGTATTGTAGATTTTTGGATTATTGCTGTACTCAGGATCAGCAGCGTGAGTATAGCTGCTGTTTATTGGTTTAGAGTTGAGCCACCAGAATGAGCCTTTAAATGACCTTCTTTGAGTCAGATGTTGCTCAGGCCTTTGCTTTCCTTTCAATCGTGTCAAACATTTTATTGTTGTGCAAATGTTCTTGCATAACATGTACTGGACATGTTGTGAATGGAGTCGCTTTCATTTATTTGTCACAATGTGGCTGTATCATACATGTCTACAACGCTCCGCCACCCCTCACAATGCAAACCCTTGCATATAAACACAGCAGAGGGTTGCATTTTACCGCACTCGGTCTCAACGCCCACTTGTACTTGCAGTGCTGTAAAAAGGTTAACAGTACTGCTAATAATATACAATGACCTGCAGTACACTTAGCTGCACTGTCTTCAATTGTGTTCAAAAAAAGCACACACTTTAAAGCTATATTATGGGCTTGTTTTCTCAAATGATTTTAATCTCCTGTTTGTAGCAAAAAATCTTACAAAGAACATGTCTGTCAGACACATGAAAAGAATCAGATATATGCCCCAGTTTCTGCTTGCAAATAATGAAACATGCAAAAATCGCTTGCAGGTTATTTTGTAGGTACTGCATATCTATATTATGACCTGTTTGATCTTTTTAAAGTGGTTTCTCAGTCACATATGGCACTGTGCAAAATTAAGCACTTTAGATATTTAGATTCTTATCCATCACGCAGTAGCATCCAGAGAGGCATCTGATTGGTCCCATAGTCATTTCACAGCATGACAGCCGTGCAAAACATGCAGTCAGTCACGAAGGACTATCATATGATATGGCCCCCAGAGAGCCCTGATCTCCACATCACAGTGTCAGTGTGGGAGTACAAAGAGAGACAGAGACATTCTAAATCCACAAAAAACTATTGCAAGATCTTTGAATCAACCTACCTGCCGAGTAACCTGAGAAACTGCACAAGTGGTCTGGCAAATTATGGTAACATGAGGTAGGGGTGAGATTTAAGTTTTTTTCTGTTTTTATTGCACTTTGTATAAAGTTAATTGAGAAATAAATACAGTTCAGGGCATTATTTTTTTAAAGCATCCTCACATTACTTTTAGAGCCTAAAATGTTTTTGCACAGTACTGTAAGAACACAAAACAAAAGCAGTGCTTTACAATATAATAAAAAGAACAGGATGTGGTGATAAAAGCCTTTGATTCAGTGATCCAGTATAATCTACTTTTACATGCCTGCCTGTTTTTGAGTTCAGGTATATAACTGTGGCTCATTTTTCTGTTTCTTTTCAGGTAAAATCCTCAATGATGACACAGCCCTCAAAGAATACAAAATCAATGAGAAGAACTTTGTGGTCATCATGGTGACAAAGGTACAGGAATTTACAGATTTTATGATTTTTAATGTGTGTGCACATGCAATAAGTGTGAGCTAATTCTGAACTATGGCTAGGTTTTGTATCTTTCTTTTTCCAGTGCCTACTACTTGTGTCTGTCTGTGTGATCATTGCTGGGTCAGTGTTGTCCATGCCTGGCTCTGGTTTACTCCTGCATATTACAATACAATAACTTGTTCTAGACAAAGATAATCTTTAGTTGTGTTCCTAGCTGCACCAGGCAGGGAACAACATGTATTGGTCCCTTTCCCTCAATGATGGCTGTTGATTTGAAACTGCATTTTGGGCTAGTATTTTGCTCATAATTTGTAAATATAACACCAGTATATTATAGAAAATATAGTACAGATAATGGGGAGAAGGCTTTCATTTTTCATGTGATGGCATTTATATATTTAAAAAAATATATATCTTGCAGCCTAAAATAGACTCAGCTGCACCTCAGCCTTCATCTAGCACATCAACTCCCAGCACTACAGCTCCCGCAGCACCTCCCACCTCAGTGCCCAGCTCGGACAGCTTGTCGGGGCGTGCCTTTCCAGACGACAAACCAGAGGAAAAAGAATCTTCCATTGCTGAGCCAGCGCCCCCTCCTGCCGGGTAAAGATGGGTAGATGTTTGTCTTGAACTATCTCTCTAATTTCAGCGCATCTTTGAGTAGTGATGTGCATGTCACTCCTCACCCCAGGTCTGTTTTCTCTCTCATAGAAGCTCCGAGGGGTCAGCAAACACAAATCTCATTGATGAGGCAGTTTCAACTTTAGGTAAGTTGCATTTGTAAACTTCATTTGTAGGTCAGTGGCTCAGCCAAAACACAATCCATCAGTTCTGTATGGCCACATGCTCTGGCCTTTACAAATACTGCTTTGCTCAGAGTAAATCCTGCAAGTTTTAGTTTTGATTACTTCTTGTGCTATTGGTGTGAATTTTCAGCATTTGAAGCAGGTTCTTTACTTTTGAGACACAGCAGAGAAATTCATCTTTATGTATTCTAACCCCTAAAATTGTCCTCTGTTATGTATAAAATGTATTCCACTGATAGTGTTTTGTCACAGTATTACATTTAGTTATGTTTTCCTTGCTGTGTAAGCATTCTGCCTCTTCCAGTTTGGTGACAGTAGAACCATGTTGTGTTTGTTTTAAGATCGGTAATTTCTACTTCTCTGGCAGCGCTCGGAAGTTGACACCTACATCTGTAAGCAAATGACTAGTGCAGTTTTATTGTACAGAACCTGACCTTAAGTTGCAGATGTCATTAACAATGAGGATGTGATTGGGCTTAATTTTTCTGAAATGACTATGTATATAATTACAGCACTGTACCTGAGGAAAGGGGAAAAAAAAAAACTCTTTAGACCCACCACTGAAAAGCATATGCTGTCTTGGTGTTTGTCACTTTAGTTACAGGCCCATCATATGACGCCATGGTGAACGAGATGATGCTGATGGGTTACGAGAGAGAGCAGGTGGTAGCAGCTCTGAGAGCAAGCTTCAATAACCCAGACAGAGCTGTGGAGTACCTGCTCACAGTAAGAACAGCTATAGAAAATAACTCACTGCGACACCCTAGCTTGTTTTACATGTGAGACATTTTTGTGTAATTGTATTTCATGACTTTTCCTACAGGGCATCCCAGGGAGAGAGCGGGGCCATGCAACAGGACCTGATGTGGGGGCGTCACCAGTGAGCGGCGCTCCAGCTGCACCCACAGGTGGCGTTAGTGTCCCCACCGCCACTGGCTCTTCATCAAGTGCTGGGGGAGGTAAATGGCCTATACTGGCAACATACTCCAGCAGCCTCAGTGGCCAAATGTTCTTTTAGTATTCGCTCTCTTCTTGGTGTTTACACTTTCTGACTCATACTTTATTTTCTCAGTCAATCCCTTGAGTTTCCTAAGAAATCAGCCCCAGTTCCACATGATGCGACAGCTGATCCAGCAGAATGCCGCCCTGCTTCCTGCCTTGCTGCAGGAGATAGGAAGGGAAAACCCAGAGCTGTTGCAGGTGAAGTACTGACATGGCTTAGTCTGTTATAAAAATGTTTTAGGTGTGGATGTATTGCTGGAGCCTTGATGTAGTACTAGTTAAAAGGTTCAACCGGCACATGTCATTAAAAAGGGACATGCCACTCATTTTACACTTTACTTTTGCAGTTTTTTTTTCCTTGAAACTTGCACTGATCAGGCATAACATTATGACCACCTGTGCATCTGTATACACTTCAATGCAACACCTTTGCACTTGTTTATGAAGCTCAAAATATTTGTTTTTGGCAAGATTGTCAAATGTATAGATCCAATTATATGTCCATTATTGAGGTCATAGTTTAAAGGTGGTGTTGTACTGGACTACATTATATTCACAAGTGTTTTTAATATTCTGACCCTCATTTATGTCAGTGTGAAGGACAAAAAAGACACCTCTGAACATAATGTAGTCCAGTGCAACACCACCTTTAAACTATGACCTCAATAATGGAATAATTCTGTTAAAGCCAAACCTCACAGGTGGCCATAATGCTATGTCTGATCGGTGCAAGTCTCAACCGAAGTCACTGTATAAACTGGAGGTGTGAGGTTTGGGAAAACCAGGCATTTAGGAGATAGGTTAATCTAATGAAAGATAGTGTTGGATCTAGCCCATACAGTCAGACTAATAGTCACACCTCAGTTGTCCATTTACCACTGTAGGAGATTAGCAATCATCAAGAGCAGTTCATCCAGATGCTGAACGAACCCAATCCAGAACCAGTGCCAGCAGGTGGCGGAGGTACAGCAGGAGGAGCCAGAGGGATGGGAGGTAATACACCTGGTGGAAGTCACGCGAACTATATCCAGGTCACACCACAGGAGAAAGAGGCCATTGAGAGGGTGAGGAAAAATATATTGCATCACTGTGACTTACCTCCTTAAGTCCAGATATGAGTGCTGCTTTATTGGAAGTGCCTGGAATCTCATGCACAACTGCAGTGTCACCAAGCTCACTTTTATTCTTCACGAGTGGTGAACATGCAGCACAAATTGTCCTTTCTTTTTAATATGTTTGGCTAATCTGCAGTTCTTCTTCCTTTCAGCTAAAAGCTTTAGGATTTCCAGAGGGACTTGTTATACAAGCCTACTTTGCTTGTGAGAAGAACGAGAACTTGGCCGCCAACTTCCTTTTACAACAGAACTTTGACGATGATTGAGAGCCTTTCTCTTTTTATTGCCGATGTTGAATATGCATACAACAAGCCTTTTCCAGAAAAAGAGTTGCTTCCATATTCATCTAACACTGGATCATTATCACAAAGGCTTGTTTGTGATGGAACACTTAAAGTACAATTATTTTGCATCAAAAAAAAAAAATCGTGCTTTTTTTTATAATTCTGTTAAAGCCAATGTAAATCTTGATTTACAATGTAGTATGTTTCATATTTTAACTGTGGGTGATTCAGGGTAAATCAGAGGTCATGACAGTATTTGTTATATTTTTTTCACGTTGACAAGTAATGGAGACTTGAAAAAAAATGTATCGCACTGATTCTGTTAACCTATAGTTAGTTAGGTAGTTCCAAAGACTCATTTTTACAGGAAAAAAAAATAAAGTTTAAGATAAAAGCAGTGTTTTTTTTATGCCAGTACCTTTGACAAGCAACTGCTCTGGACCCAAGTAGGCATGGGCTACACAAGGCCTGTGCGTGTCCCATGACATGTCTGGAAGCTGGAATCCTGCCCCTGCAAGAGAACACAGCAAATAACTTAATGTACTGGTGTATGTAGCCTAATGTGCAGTCACATTGTGTTCATTACACCAAATGTATTTGCCCGTTTACAGAGTAAACACCTTGTCAGCTTCAGAAAGACTTGCTGTGTGCATCTCCCTGGCACCTCAGCGTACATTGACAGCACTATCCCAACAACAGGAATCAAAGTCAGATCTGTGCATTAACAATCTGCCTAGGGAGTGACCTCAGTAGCAGTCATTGCTTTACATACACAGCAGTGTCACCAAGCAGAGGATTTTTAAACTGCTCCAGAACTGTTACAGCTGATAGGTGGAGAAAGTGTTGGGTAGCTTGTGAATTTTCCAGAGACCAATAAAGTCGTGATTATATTGAAAATTTTGCATTACTCTGGTTCTGAAAAGCAAAAGGGTAAAAAAGCATATTTACCTCTAAAACATAGTGAAGTCAAAGTATGAAGTAGAAAAAAATGAAAGTACTCCAGTACTTATACCTCAGTTGTACTTAGTTTCCACCACCTGACTTCAGACACATTGTAAAAGCCATGTGCTGTCTGATCTGTCCAACCTCCATCTGCCCCACACACCCACTCAAAGAAAATGATACACACACACACACACACACTAGGATCTTTCTCACACAACTTAGCCATCAGACGCAAATTACCAGCCAAATCAAAACGTGGTTTTGCTGCTGGCAGGGAGGGAAAATATTACTTTAACAGTCTGTAGGAATCAGGCTGTCTTAAATTAAATTTCAGCCGATATTCTTCGAGCTCAAGCTTTAAGTTCTGTGGTACTACAATTCCCCCGACTGTAACAAAACCAACTCCTGCTGCGCAAAGAAGGACCCGGCGTTTGACCCAGTCACACCTGAAACAGGTGATTTAACGAGAATGTAGTTAATCTTTAAAATATAAATAAAAAAAAACACCTTCACTGATTGACCTTCAAATGTGGCCAACATCCGGGTCAAAATGATCAGCGATATTTAACCATTTTGTTGCATCTTACTGATCCAAAAGTTCTTTTGTCGGAGCTTTAAAAGTCTTATAGACTCACCATAACTACTAAAAGGACAGGCCGAGCCAACAGAAAACCAATCAGTGATTATACAAACCACAATGACGCGCAGTTACACACCTATTTCAGACTATACAGACACGCAAATACACAACTCTCACTAGTTTTGTCGCCAAACGAATTACAAAGGGAACCTGTTATACAGCCTAAACAGAGAATGCGCAATGCATAAACGACACCTGCAAGAATATACAAGAAAAAAATAAAACTCACCACAGTAAATGAATAAACAACATATATACTTAGCACCCGTGTAGCCTCTAACCCCTTCCACACACTCTGCATACACAATATTAACACACCAGAGGCTAATGCCACTGATTACACCTTCATTCATTAATTACAAACCCCGCCCACTAATTTAGGGATGAAGACGCTACTACAAACTTACAATCAGCGTCACCATGACTCTTTCAACCAACTCATCTCAAAAGGCACAATCTCAAATAAAACAGCCAAGCAGGTTTTCCATACTGTACCTCACAGAACAGCTGGAAGGAGCCTGGAACCGTCACAGCCCGGCTGTGACTGTGGCAAGGATGGGTGACACACACACACACACAGGAGAAATATGCCAATAACTAATTTAGTTTTCTGAACACAAAACCAACTAATATTGCAAAGTAGATATGTTGGGAAAGGTCTGTAAGATCAGTAGTGAGAATGTACATGTGCATTGGGTGTTGTGTTGTAACAAAAAGGAAAACAAATAAAAACACCACATACCATGACGCCTGATGAGGACAGAGCCCAGGACTGGCAGCTGCTCTGGCAGGGGACACACCCATGGTGTGTCTCATGATTGGAAGGTGAAGTCCCGCCCCTGCCAACACACCACAGCAGGCAGGGATGCAGGCAGGGGGCCCTCACAAAGAGTAACTTAATAGCAAATACACTTTTTGGTGTTTGTATGTAATGTGTACAGTCATGTTATTGTGTTCATTAGGCCAGATGTATTTGCCTGTTTACAGAGCAAACGCAGTAATTCTGTTCCCAGCACCACAGGGTCAAAATTCTGATACTCCCTGTTACATCGTACCTCTGAAATACAGGCCAACAAAAATGAACACTAAACTGAACTGAACTGATAATGTATACATGTGGCTACACATGTAAAATACTCACAGTAGTACTCACAGTAGCTTTAAGGTACTCAGGTCTGTACAGACAATGTTTTCATATGTGTGTCTTGTTTGACACTGCTCCATTAGAAATACAAAATGATGACAAAAAGCCTAGTGTGCTTAAAACTGAATCAACCTACAGGGGGCAATGTAGACCACAACATGTTTCTGAAAATGAACAGCATCGACATCGAGTTCTATTGTCCAGCCTGAAGATGTGTACCACCACATATGTCAATATCTGAAACAATGTTTGATATAAGTAGACTTTGGCTCCTAAAGGCAGCTGAATTGTTAGACTTCAGGTCACTGGCCTTTTATGAATACATGGTGGTTTCACTTTAAATATGGGCTCTTATTTAAGTTGAACATTTTGCATTTCACAGCTAATTTTTAAACTCTTGGTTAATTGAATGACACGCCTTGCCAGGTGCTATGATGTCAGATGGTATAGAGCAGGGTTAGCAATCAGATCCTTTGGGAATGAGTTTTAAATACTGCTTACTGGGTCAAAAAGGAGTGCCATCATTTTTTTATTTTTATTTTCTTACACAGCAGTCACTGTCCATTAATGATGATGTTCTTTAATTTTGTTTAAATAAATGTGGAATTATTACAAAATTTATTTGCAGTAAATGTGCATGAAAGTAGGCGTAAATGAGGATTAGAATGATGCTGAGTGAACCAACTTTCCTTTGGGTTTTTATTTGCCATTGTATAATATTTTTGTTGTATACCGGTATTATCATATTGCCATGTAATCGTTCTGTGACAAAATAAATAAAGTAGGTACATAGACTGCATAATTATACAGGAGAAACACATCCTGACACCATCTCACTGTGGCATCTCTGTGGGTTTTATTGAGAGAGCTCATATCAGATTTGGTGTCACCCTTAAATGTGAGCCAGTAACTCAGTTGTCCTCCCCATTCTTCCCACTGACGGGTGGAAAGAGAACCCCATGGAAACAGGACATTGTAGGAGTGTATTTCTTTGAAAATCTGTTTAATGGCAACATTGTGTTAGTTTGCCTGCGGCAATCTCACTATTGTCAGGGGGATATTGTGTGTGAGTTGATTGTGAGGTGTTGCTGCCATTAAATGTGCTTCTCCATTACACTACCAGGGAATTCTACAATTACTATTTAAACATAATGACATGCATCTCATTCTGTAATGTGCCTTGTGTCGTTTACTTTACGGCATCAAAATGTTTTGCTTTCAATTATAGTAATGTAGATATGACAGGAGGTCGTGATTTTCTTATTTCAAATACATTTTATTTTTTTATACTGCAAAGTACAAAACAATAACAAAGAAATTTTATTTACAAATGTACAAAAATTAAGATTATATTACACATTTAAGCTATAAACAAAGATTTTTTGTTCAGAGTTATCCATTCAATACAAAAATATGAACATCTCATAAATTATTGCACTTTGCTACTGCAGTGCATTGAAGATTGCCATCACCATTTAAAAAGTGAAGTGCTCACCTGATTTAAGTCTGATTGTGGAAGAGAGGTTTCCGAGAAACACGCAAACAACCGTGTGGCAGTTTTTCATGCTTTTCACCCATTTGGTATGTTTTCCTTAATCTTTGGTACCTTTTCTTTTAAAAAGAACTTTCTTCAGACTCACTGAGCACCATTCTGTATAAATTAACATTGTACCTGAAATTAATGGCATTGCAGGTGAAATGTGTATATAAATATAGATATTTATTAATACAGTATTCTGAACAGTGTGTAGTTGTTAACAGAGCCTTTAATGGCGTCTTGCTGTTAGAAGGCCTCTGGAGATGTTTGCCTGTTGCTCCTGTTTCCCTGACAAACATACATTTCCAGTTTAAAATTGTTGGCACCTGGTCCTCCAAGTTTTGTCGGTTAAATAGGACAAATTCCAGTTTGGTCCCTTTCATGAAAGTTCGCAACCCTGACTGAGAGGTCTCGTCGAGTTGCCTGCACAGTGTGCAAAGATGGGATCAGTCTTGAAAGAAATTCTAGGCTCTTGAGAGAGTAATGCTCTTTTTGCCATGAACACCACAGCTTGTCTTGTTGCTTGACAATGGCCTGAAGGCAAATTATGGTTTTAAAAAGTGTAGCTCAAGTTTGTTCAGGGTTCAGCTAACATTTTTTGGAGCCTTCATCCATTGCCGTCCAGTCTGGTCCTCCTAACAGGTCTCATAAGTGTCTCTTCATATGTAGAGCAAGGTGGTCTGACCTCGAGAAGGCCCGGTCACATTTCTGACACTGAAATGGCCGGTGCCCTGTGTGTTTCCTGTAGTGGCGCGTGAGCTCGTCTGAACGTGCAAACTTCCAACCACAGCCCTCCCAGTCACAGTGGTAAGGCTTCTCCCCTTAGATGGGAACACAAACATGGAGCAGTTAGTGCTGGCCCTGAGGTTAAACTGGCCCAGCCTTCCCCCACCTCCTGGAGAAAAGAGGTCCATCCTGTCCTGCAGCTAGCGCATAAAGGCCAAGCTTATTTGGCCCTGGTTTGTATTTGAGCAGGGATCATTATCAACCTGTTCCACCACACCTGCTATAACAGCTCCCATACCCCATCCCCCATCCACCTGACACAGTAATTCAATGTGCCGGTGCATTGTTGTTTTTATTTTAATAACTGGCTCTAAACAATAAAAACAGTATAAAGGTGCTGAAATTGCAGCTCTCCTGAATAAAATGATGAAAAACACACAAAGCTATTTGTATATGATATACATTAACCCAAACAAATGGCAGAAAAAAATAAAACTGTGGCACATTACAGTTACATACCTGTGTGTGTGCGGTGATGCGCTTTGAGGTGGGAGCTCTTTGTGTAGGTTTTCCCACAGCCGACATAGTCACACGTGTGTGTGGCGACTCTCTTCCTAGGCCAGGAGCGTCTACCACGTTTAGGCTTTGGCTCCTCTGGCAAGCAGTCTCCGCTAGAAATCATGAGGGACTCTGTGGGGTCAAACAATCACAGTCAACATCACTTTAAGGGGTTAACAAATAACAACTATAAAGAAAAATAATCATCAGAGGCTGCCCGTGGTCATAAGCTCACAGACAGTTACTGTATATTTGACTGTGAATGGCAGATCATGTTGCAATGCTAAAGAGAGCTCTCACATCAGACAACAAAGCTAACATAAAAATGGTAGAATACAGCTTATTTAAAATGTTTTTTTTCTGTTGTCAGCTTTTAAATGCCTTAGAAAACATTGGGTTTCTTCAATGGTACAATCAATAAGGATATCATTAAAGCCTTAAGATCATATAAGCTCTGTTTTAAGTCTGTTTGACATGTGTAAGCATTTTGGGGGGGGGGGGGCTAAGGGATAAAATGCTTAATAGTGAGAAATGTACTCTAACCTTGGTACTGCATGGATGATGACTGAGGGTAGGAGGTGAAGCCCTGTGGGGAGCTATGGTGGTATCCCTGGGGAGGCAGAGGGATCTGAGTGTGGGGATGCCCCAGCACCTGGTGCTCCCGGCTCAGCGGATGGTCTGGGGAGAGGGAAGAGGATGAGGATAACCTGTCGCCCGTCATGGGCCGTCCTCCACCAGGGAACCCATGTAGATCCAAGTGGCTGGGGCGCTGCTGTTGCTGGCTCCCTTGGCCCTGGGAATTTACGCCAGGGCAGAGGGAGCCCATGTGTAGATCCATGGGCTGTGAGATGGTGCAGTTACTGGGGTTCTCCTGCTTTATCCTGTGGCAGGTAAAGGACGGTGAGGCACGTGAAGAAGCTGGGTCTGATGGGGCGTTAACACAGGCCTTGCTTATGTTCACGCCTTGGCAGTATTCTCCCATGTCCACTGTTGTCTTGACAACAAACTTGCCATGAAGGCTGGTTGGGTGGAGGTATGCCGGGTCCAGTTCGGGTCTCATGAGCTCTGCCACAAAGCCTCCTGAGGGTGAAACATCACTGATATCTGGGATGGTATAAAGCAGCTCACTGGCAGTGCCCTGAGGTGAGGGGAGAGGGTAAGATGAGGAGAAAGAGCCGGGTGAAGGAGACAAGGTCTGAGCAGAGCTGCATGCCATGGCCTCATCCTGCTGCTGCTGCTGCTGCTGTTGTTGCTGCTGCTGCTGCTGCTGAAGAATTGAATTAGACAGAATAAAGTCGTAGTCTAAGTCCAGGTCTGGCTCTGTATCTTTCTTGGACATGCTGGCACTTGTGGCGCTGGTGGCAGTGGGACGGTCTGGGTCAGGGCAGTTGCTTCCGGTTGGCACACTGGGTCTCTTAAGGTGGGACAATTCCTCTTTCCATCTCTAGAGGAACATTACCGAGACATTCATAACTATACTAGAAAAACCTGTCTCTTTGTGTCATGTTATTAAGTGTAAGCTAATGCTTCAAGGAGAGAGGAATGTGGATCTGTAATGCAGAATCATTATTATGACAGCTCAGCTACAGAGTTAAGTCTGGTGTAACAGGCATCTTCGGCGCAGAGCACTTCCTAGAATACAGATTTGTCTTGTTTCTCATGAAACGAAGTAGGGAAGCACTAGGAATGAATTACAGTAGTAACACTATTCTCTGATTAATAAACAGTGATTGAGTGACCACAGTGCCATGCTCGGAGGACGTTCCTATGGAGGTCCATATGGAGCCTACTGAACAACCCAGTATAACCAATGATTCTGCTGGTGCACCAGGTTTTCACTGGAGTTGTGCAGTAGTCTCCGTGTTCGCTGAAAGCCTACTGAAGTCGCCTATGTAAACTGGTGCACGCCCCAGTAGTGACAAGCCCTGACTGTGCACATAATAACGACTACAGAAACACTGCAAATAACATGCACTGGCTTTACAACTTTCTGGCAGATTATTTGGTGCCCGTGGGTGTTTGGCATGCATTAAGAAATGACCACATGCTACTCACTAAATTGGCACTTCCTACGGATTTACTCTTGACGTTTGGGCCGCTGGCAAACGTGGATATGGATGGCAGAAGTGTCCCACCTAATGCCATCTCGACGTCATTTGGAGGCTGCCTGAAATTAAAGAAAAATAACTGTAAATCCCTGCAGAGTGTTCCTGGAACAGCGACTGTAGCCTGTTACAATCCACAAGTAGATGTTCATCTGTCAAATGCTGTTATTAAAAGTTTCAGGAGCTGCACACCTCACCAATGAGAAGTGGGAGTCCTCTCGGTTGTTCTTCGGCGTGGCGACTGACTGCACTGGCTTTTGGCTAAATATCCCCAGGTTTAAAGTGTCTGCTACGCGTCGCGGGTTATACTATGCTCCAGGGCATGCTGCCTGCCCGCGGGCGGCCCCGTTTTTTTCTGGCGCCCGGCCGCTGGCGCGCCCGGGAGAAGCAGCCGGACTGGCTGGTTATTAACGCTAAAGCAGTTTTGGACTGGAAGACGGAGAAGCGACGGACGGGGGAATCCCACGCGCCTGTTGCCATGCAGGGACCGGCAGTGTGAAGTGAGAAAACCGCGTGAGAGGTATCCTTAAATCACTGGAGCGGGACACGCCTTCGTTGCTCGGAAACAAGCGCGGAAAAACATTAGCGCGGGGGAGGGAGCACATGGGGGGCAGGGAACTGTGAGAGATTGAAAGAGCGAGAGGTTTGTTTGTATTCATAGCAACGGTACCTATCCTTACTGCCTTGGTTGCTGTGAAATATGGATGAAGACGCGCATCTTGTCAGACTGACTGACATGGGAATAAGAGTACCTTTTAATGGAGTATATCTGGAGGGTAACCCGCAGGCACGGGCATCACCTGGACGGTCAAACGCTTACCTTAGTATACCCAGTTGCTTCAGTGGCGGAAGACCTATGGCCAACTATTCAGATATTTTGCTTAACTAAAAATACCAATAAAACAATGTAACAAAAATACTCTTTTTTTTGGAACCCTATATAAGTAAGAGCATGGCCACACAAAACTCAGGAGAAGCACTGGGGCAAAATTTTCTTTGGGGGCCCCTATTGACCCCCCCTCCCCCCAGCACCGTAGTGCAGAAGTTCTTAATTGATTAGTTGATTGACAGAAAATTAATTTGAACCATTTTTGGTTATTTTTAAGAATATGTGCCAAAAATGTAGTAGCAGCTTCTCAAATGTGAATTTGCTACTTTCCCTAGTTTCCCATGATAGTAAGAAGCATATTTGACTACTAGTCAAACAACATAGCAATGTGAATATGTTAACTTGGGCCTCAGGGAATAACTTTTGGGCATTTTCTATACAGGAATCAGTCAGTTATTAAAGAAAATACTTGTCAAATGAATTGATAATGAACATAATTACTGGTTACAACCTTACAGAACTTCTAGAATGGAATCACAACCTTGCCTGAGGTTTTCTGTGTTAATTAAAAGATTAAAAGACACAAAGGAAAATAAGGAAGTGGTATTGTAAAAACATAACTTTATAATATAAATTAAAACAATTAAAGATCATAAAAGTAAACTGTGATACAGAGTCCCTGGGGAATGGAGTTCATCATAGCTGATGTTGTACTTCAGTGGTCCAAATTTCTTTTATGTAGCTCTAAATGATACAGAGTAAAAGCCCCAGATTCAGGGGCCTCAAATCCCCAAGTGCATTTGGGGCCCCTGAGCAGTTGTCCACATTGTCCAGTTGATAATCTGGGCACTTTTATACACTTATGTATTTAGTTTGGTCCAGTGGGTCCCAACATATCAGATCCCTCCTAAGGTTGACAAGTTGAAACCGAGGGTTCGTGAGATGAATAACCAAAGAAAAAATAAGAAAAAACAAAGTTCTTGGTTTTTTAATTTGTATTGATAATAGTACAGTTTGTTTGTGTGTGTGTGTGTGTGTGTGTGTGTGTTAGACTTTGGTGATGTATTGGATAATCTTACTTATAGTGTCTTGGCCTAAAACAGGTATTTGATTTATGATGAGACCCCAGTCAAACACTTTTTTACAGAACAGGTTGGAAAATGCTGGTTTAATCTTTAAAATGTATTACATTAACCTAAACAGTAACTAGTAACTCTAGTAGTATAAATAAAGTATATACAGTATTTACCCCTAGAATATATTGAAGTTGTAAGTTGCATAAAATGGAAATACCTAGGTATAAGTAACTTATAATTGCTCCACCTGTTTTCAAATATATAAGTGCATTTATCAACAGTGATAACATATACACTACAAAGATTTTACCAAATAAATGTTCTGTAATTATTTATCCAGAGTATTATGGGAACTCCTAATTCAGTTTAAATTATATCTCTGGATAATAGGAGCAGTAAGCCTAGAAGGCATGCCTGCACTTGCAAAGCAAAATTTAATTTTGGCTGTGCTTTGTTTGTTTTGCTGTACTTTCAAAATTTGTGACAGTGAGTTATTTTTTTCAGGCAGTATAAGTAGCTTGTATATCTAAATTTTACAGACAGATGTATAATGCTATACTGCATATGAATATGCACATACTAGATTCACAGTTCTCAACAACAATTAGTCTTAACTGAAAAACATCCATAACTGAATTTTGATATAAATATCAGACTGATGTGATTTATAGAGAATACAGTTTTGTCTATACTTAGATAAAAAAAAACAACAGATGTTTGGGACAATGTTACTTGGGACAAGTAACATTAATTAGGCTTATTTTTATTAAACTATCTTTAGTGGCTTACTTTACAAATTACACTATTGCAAAAAAAAAAATAAAATAAAAAGAAATGATAACACTAGTCTAGAAAATACTCTATGGGGGGAAAAAGACCTTACCTGGGACCATTAAACTGCTGAGAACACTTTGTTGTTGAGTTTGAATTGAGTTCAGGCAGTCTTTGCAAAAGCAAACAAAGCACTTCCCACTGATCCTGCTGCATCAGGATCTTGTCTGTAAGGCATGTCAACAAACATGCCATCACGCCAACAGAACACATCCACAGTTGGTGTCTTCATTCAGAGTTTTATATTGCATGAATTGGGTTGGGCAAACAAGGACTGGAGGAAAATATAAACTACAATGACATGCAAATTTTGTAAACAGAATACATATCCTGTTGGGCAACCTTTGATTTATTGTCTGGTATAATAACAGTGAGACACTAATCCAAACAATATATACTTATGCTATTGCCTGTTGAGGAATGATGGTTTTATTAGACCACACTGTTTGCACTACATCTCTTGCTTTTGAATACCATTTCTACAGTAGGTAGGAAGACAATGGGAGCTATATATCATTATAGCCATCTTCTTCATGGTGGGTTTTAAAAATTATCCTTTGACAGTGGAGGTGCTTTACATCATAGTACTGGCAGAAAGGGGAGGAATAGAGAAAACAGATAAAGGAAGAGAAGATGACATGACTGTGCTTTTCCTAAAACAATAACATAATGGTGACTGAGTAACTCACACTACACACTGTTCAAATATGTGTGTTAGTGCAACTTAACATACTTAGCATTAGCTGAGAGCTGTGAATAAGAAAGACTGAGCTCCATGCAACACCCTGCACAAATAATGATTTTAAGTGTAACATAATTCCAGATATTGACATTATGTTAAAGGCACTTGTGACTCCAAGAGCAGGATAAGGATAGACTGTGGTAATGTTATTGTATCAGTACTAACCTGACCATTCAGAGGTGTAATATTTTCCAGTCATTAACTTCAAAAAGTGTCCTGATAATGTGGTTTCTCTGTGTTCTTATCAGCATGGATTAAGCGTGGATGTCATGACACCTACCTAAAGAAACAGGTGTGCTGACACTAATCTCACAATGTTTTTAAAATATCCACAGTACGGTGACATCAGCTGTGGCTATTTTAATATTTAAATGGAGATAGTTGATTTAAGAATCCTGCTAAGCAAGTTTGAACACTGATAATATGCAAATAAATATGCAAATTGAGCATGACTTGCCAAATACAGTGGGTACGGAAAGTATTCAGACCCCCTTAAAGTTTTCACTCTTTGTTATATTGCAGCCATATGCTAAAATCATCCATCCATCCATCCATTTTCCTCCGCTTATCCGGGACCGGGTCACGGGGGCAGCAGTCTAAGCAAAGATGCCCAGACTTCCCTTTTTCCAGACACTTCCTCCAGCTCCTCCGGGGGAATGCGTCCACTATACTACTATATTCCTATAAATATGTGTGTCAGGCAACAACTAGGTATATATATAATGTAAATGAATACACTAAAATAGCTGATTATTTATTTTGATAAACTAAAAAACTGTGTTATTGTTTGTGTTACCAATTCTCAAAATCTGGACTGTTGTTTTTAACTATTCCTCTGAACACTGGAGAAAAACGGCACAGATTGGATGGTTCTGCCCACCTAATCCCCACTGAACTGTGTGATATTCAGCAGGTGTGTGGGGGGGAAAGAAGGCTTAGATCTTCAGAGTGTTATGTGAGGTGATTCTGTAATGTCTGTTAGCCTGTCCTTGTTTCTTAACAGACTAGTTATGGGTTGCAATATGATTCAAAATGCATGTCAGACTCATGTCTAGTTCAGATTCAGATTTAAGACAAGGCTTTACAATGCACCACAGCTGCTCTAGTTGATTTTTTTTATAGTATCAGTAGATCGAATGACTGCAAACCGTGCAAGGTTGCTCATAATGACAGATCCATAGAGAATTGTTATCTTATCTCTGCAGTTCTCACACAGCATTTTAGCATCTTTCAGCTCAGTGTTTTAATTTTATGGCCCCTGTTTTGGTTTCACTGCACTTATCAACCTGCTTCTAGCTGCAACAAGCAGCTGTTGTCAGTGAAATGACTTAAAAAATTACCTCTAGGCTACCTGCCCAGCAACAAACCAGCACTCAGCCAAAGGCTGGAATTGGCTGGTTAGTATGTTGAAGTAGTGATCTATTTAGATATTTTCCAGGGGTCATTTCAGAGCAAAACTACAAGACAAGGAGAGTAAATACTAGACATGTATTTGTCAGGGTGAGGCACAAATCAATGCTGACATTGCCCTATGTGTGCTGGACATATAAATTGACATGTTAAGTTCAATTCAATATTATTAGTATATCACAACAAGTCATTTCAGGACACTTTAAAAAGTAAGGCCTAGACCTTACCATTATTACTATAATTATAGAAGAAAAACCCAACAATTCCGCCTTGAGAGAGCACTTGGCAACAGTGGGGAAGAAAAACTCCCTTTAACAGAAGAAACCTCCGACAGACCTCAGCTCTTGGTGGGCGGCCTTCTGCCTCGACCGGTTGGGGTGGGTGGATAGAGGAGAGAGAAAAGAAAAGAAAAGCATCAAG